CCCCCCCCCCCCCCCCCCCCCCCCCCACTGCAAAAAAAACACACACCCTATTGTCACATACCTGCGTAGGGTCTGTAGGAGTCGAAAATCGTGTCCATGACCGCGGTGCCTCGTGTCGCCGTGAGCATGCTGTTGCGGAGACCGATCATGCCCCGGGTCGGGACGAGGTACTCGATGTTGGTCATCTGGGCGTCCCCGCCGGTCTCAACGGGTGTCATGTTGAGCATTTCCCCCTTCCGCCTCGAGAGCAGGTCGACGACTGCGCCGGTGTATTCGTCCGGCACCTGGGGAACGCGCAGGCGACGGGGCGGCCAGAAAGGAGACGGGCAGCGTTGATTTGCCGATTCTTGTCGTGCTGCATCGAACGTGTGCAGTAGAGTATGTTGTGCTGCGTCAGCAGAGCTCGAGGTTTGGGGGCACAGCTGATCTCCTACTCAGGCCTGAGAAACGCAACCATGCGGCCAGAGGAGACCTTTTCGAATCGTGTCCTGCTGCATCGCACATGCACTCTACAGACAAAATATGGTGTTCCGTAACCTGAACAGTAAGAAATACTTGCCCAAAACGAAAAAATACACCCATTTGTTTACTTTGCAGCGCCAGAGCTCGAGGTTCGGTGGCACAGCTGTTGCATCGAACATGTAGACAATATATGCAACGCCAGAGCCCTTGGTTCGGTGGCGCAGCTGATGGACTGTTACCCTGGTAGCGGGATACGCCCAGCGACGCCAGCTAGGGGCATACGTGCCACATTTTTTTCGTATTTGTTCGAGTATGATTGGCTCAAAAACATGTGGTAGAAAAAACATACATGCGAGATTCGGCCACGGATATGCTTTTATGCCTTTTGACGCCCCAACATAACGGGGAAGAAGGCCTTGACGCCAGCGCCTCGGCGGCGGGGGCGACGTCGCAGGAGGTACAAAGGTTGTACTGGTGGCGGCGAAATCAGGGGGGGAAGCAAAACCGGTGGTGCGCACCCACCTGACGCGGACCGCCTTCGCCAGAAATCAAGTTTAGGAGGAGATAGAACAGGGAAGGATTGCGTAGACAGACCCTATCTCTAACCCCGACCCTATCCCAACTTCCCCGGTTGCGGCTACACAATATCCAACACGATAAAATAAAAGAAAACCCCTGCAAAGGCTACTGCCCAACGCCTTGCGCGCCCACCTGCACTTTTTTACCGTCTCGAACGGCTCTTGGCACAAACAAATAATACTAATACGAATACTTGGAAAAACAAATGCAGCAGCGCCGAGCAAAACCCAGGGCAACCATAATGTAGACCAAGGACCACGGCATATGCCCACAGCAGCAGCAGCAGCAGCAGCAGCATCAAGAGCAGCATTTCTTTCGAACGACCTCTGCAGCAGCAGCAGCCTGCCTTAAGAACGAGAACTCAGGTAGTAGCAGCCTGCTTTTAGAACGAACTCTGCAGCAGCAGCAGCAGCAGCAGCCTACCCCGTACCGTAGCTTTGCACAAGATATCACACCCCTTTGAGCGAAGTTCAAAGCTCGATCGAGTCCTCGGCAGTGACGGCGCCGAGAATGGCAGCGGCGTTGGAGCCATCTCGTCGGCAGAGCTTTTTCGGAAACATAATCGGGGTTGACTTTGGTGAATCCTCTTAGTCTAGGGGATTGATTGTCGGCCCTGGTGGTGGGGGGGGGGGATATCGTACGCAAATATTTCCTCGCAGGAGCCCCGCGGCTGGCTCGTGGGCAGCACCGCAACCCACGGAAAGGCCGAACGCGCTTACCTGCACCTCTACCGTCTCGAAAGGCTCGTGCGTGCTGCCGTCCACTTGCTTGGTGATAACCGTGGGGGGACCAACGAGCAGCTCGAAGCCCTCTCGCCGCATGTTCTCGATAAGCACGGTCAGGTGCAGCTGCCCGCGGCCGCTGACCTGATGAAGTTCGTTCGCAATCATTGTGGGTGTATGTGTTGAACCAGGGACTTGCAAAACGCGCCCCTCTAGAGAACTTATGAATTGCGGTTAACAACTTTCAGCCTCAAAAATCCAACATCCAAGAACTTGGCCACAGGAAACACATGTGCCCGGTTTGAGGCAAACCAATATACCGTATACGACGCAAGATAACACACCCCCTGGACCGACTATCAAATCTCGATTTATCAACAACCGAACAAGTCACAGCGGAAAAAACGGTGGCGTTGCAGCTGTCTTGTCCAGAGCTCTCCGAAAATGTATTGTTTCATTAGTGCATCCTCTTCATCATGGCGTAATCGAGCTTTGAAAACCATTCCATGGGGGGTGTTATCTTGTGTCATACACGGTATTAGCGGCGAGCCTTACGCAAAATACTCGGCTTTCAAGTGGTGGAGCGTTCTGTAGCAGTCCTGAATCTGAACAACGTACAAGTAGTCATCGGGCATGCGTGATCCCGGCACCCCGCACGTTGCCAACTACTTCTTGGCATGTCAGGTATTGGAAATACACAAGGCACGCCGCCGGAGTGAGCTCATGACAGCATACCGTAGACGACGCACTATAACACACCCCGGTGGTAAAATTTTGAGCTGCAAACATATCATCACCGGGTGTGGCATCCTGCGGGGTGTGTGGTGTCTTGTGTAGCCCGGGTGATAAAGTGCAGCTCGCAGGGGCGCTTTTCTTGTGTCGTCTGCATTTACGGTAGTAGTAGTGTCGCCAAGGGGTGATACTAGACAGAAGTAAAGCACGCGTTGGTGATACTATTAGACAGAAGCTGCCATCATTGACGTTCGCCAAAAGAAAAAAAATGCTCACGCAGCTGGCGTGTTTTTGGCCAAGAGCCTCATAGCCAACCTCAACAAAACCGAAAAGCAAAGAAGTATTTACCAATCTGTGAGTCTACCGTCTTAATTCTGTGGTGGCCGAAGGCACGAACACGGCACTCAAACCAAAAATTTCAGCAGAAAGGTCGGGGGTGGCAAAGCGGTGGCCAGGTGCGGATGTGGTGTTCTGGAATCGTTGCTCGTTCCGTGCCCCTCTTTTTCTTTACATATATACTACGATTACACAGTAAACCCATCTCTATCCATGAATATAAGGGTTCTAAATAGGATTGGTAACGGACCCATAGCGTTAGCCGAGCACTACCTGTGCTTCTTCGATTCCCCAAGCAGCATACTTTCATATCTTCTAGTTTCACAAGGCGTGCGTCCGGAGTGGGCTGGCTCATCAGAGCATAGTGTAGCAGTGCCATCAAGACGTCATGTAAGATCAAAGCAAAGCATGTGAAGTTGTCAAAATCAGCTGCCAGCTGCCATCGGTGTTGCTTTTGGTCATACCAAAGACTCTGCCGTGCGCTGCTGTCGACGCCGCCATTCCCACTTCACCAACGACGTTTGATCCCACGAGGTGGACAGCTACATCGCATTTTCCCGCAGTGAATTGTGTGAATCGCAGCAAGATAGCCCACCGGGACCAACGACCTACCAGATTTTTCTCCAAAGGAGTGCAACGGGAAACGGTTGCTTTGGTCGCTCTCCTCTACAGCGGGGGGGGGGGGGGGGGGGCA